TTAAGGGTCTTCTTAGGGGGGGGGGGGGGGGGGAATCCATGTTTTATTCTTTGGCTTTGGGTGGCTACCGGTGAATTCTTGTTTGACTGAAAACTAGTGGATGCAAGTAGATCAGATACTACTTCTTTTTACTTTACAGGTGCTTAGGCTTTACTGTTAGGGACCAAATAGAAACGAACTATTTAGCTTCCTCTAGGAGTTTGGAGTTCTGTCCGATGCATGCACAAAGACAGGCCCTGTTTACAATCAACTCTGACTGATCCAGAATAATGGAGGGATAAGGTGAGAAAACATGACTAATGCAGGGCATGGAGGCTTCAACTGTGAGACTATATATGCTTTGTGCATCTTCTGAAACTATACTCAAAAGCCTTGTTTAGAAAAGAGGCACACTGTAGCAAAAGACAGGTTTTGGTGCAAGTGCATGCCTCCCGCATGCAAGGCACAGTGCTGCAGGCAGCTACTTCATGTATGCTCAGACCAACTAATCCACTTATGGATAGGGAACAGATGACTGTATTTCAGCAGTGTCTAGAAGTCCTGAAAAAACTACTGGGGTTCAATCAAAAATACTAAGAGTTAAACACAAGGCCAAAGAAGATAATCTTAACTAAAAGCCAATAATAGAACTTCTGGAAACCTTATTTTTAGTGCCCTTTAGCTCTATACTGATCTACTAAATGAATTTAATACTATTGTAAAGAATTGTGAACAACCTGGAATGGTGAGAAATAAATACAAATGAAGGATGAAAGTAGAAAATGAGATTAGAAGTAGTTTGCAGCTGTCGGGCATTCTTACAGATGAGGTTAAAATAGAGATCAGGAAGGAGGTAACAGCATGGCAGAAATCTCAATTTAATCCTGTTTTCTATTTCCAGTATTTACTAAACCTCTCGGTGTTTGTGTCTGTACATACCTGTGCATTTTGTCCTGCTCATTCATGTGTTATAGCAGTAACTTTATTTTTACACTGTATCTTGTAGTCAAATCTTCATTCTATACCAGTTAACTAAATTGAAAGAAGTGCAGTTGTAATCTCCTTACTTGATAACTGTTTGTGTCTCAGGTGCAAGTATAAAGGGTATGTAGGTGTGAATAGTTTCAGTAACAGGTCTTCCATTGATAATATGAAGCAAATTTTGTTCTTCTGGTTGCCATGTTGCATCAGGGATTAGTGTGACTGAGCTAATCCAACAATTTACATGTATAGCATTTCCACTGGCTTCCCTCGAGTAATGCTGAGGTGATAAAATCAGATAATCTCAGGGGTGCTGCTGTTGTAGTGTTGCAGTATTCAGGACTGCTTTGTTTATATTGAAGTGAAACACAAAAAGTTGCTATTTGTTAGTAGCAAAGAAGTGATTTATTTGACTGGATGTTTCTTGGCATTCTCTCTTCCTTTAGTCTGGTAGTAGTAACTAATTTACATCAAAATAGAAAGACTCAGGAAAAGGTATCAACTAAAGAGCAAGGACTTTTTTTTAGAATTGCATATGTAAACTGTTTATTATCTGGAAGGGAACTTAAAATTGTCTATGTGAAAAAAATTTCTATCATAGAAAGCTCATTTATAGAGAACAGTACAGTTATTTTCTTGTATTATCAGTCTCGAACAATAATTATAGGTTTCTTTGCCTTAGAATAATAATATATTATAAATAATGCCTCTTCTTGCTCTACTTAGGCTGTTAAAACTGAAGAAGTTTTAAGGGAAGCCTTGTAAGTCTTTAAGGAAGTCTACTTCACAACCATTATTACATCTAAGAGTAGCTATTTCAGTGTCAAAACTAAAATACTGGAGATGTTTGAATTTTTGATGTTACAAAACTAAGGGAAATATGTAACTGTTGGTTAGTATTTATACACACTGGGGCCTCCCAACTTTCAAACAAAAGGTTGAAATGTTGTTAAAATTCCATTCAGTGATCCCAATCTGTAAAATTTCTGTTTAAATTCATATTCACAAATGGAGAGCAATAATACCATATCTCTAGGGCTTCCCTATTTGTAGAATAACTCTCAAGTGTGGCAGTCATTGTGAAGTAAGTGCACCTGCAGAGCTGTTACTCAAAAATAGCTCTTACCTTTATATTCTGTATTGACCCAAATGAACATACTGTGTCCTTTTATTGAAGCGGTAAACCTTTTTCACTGCTTTTCCAGGTAGTATAAATCTTGACATAAATAGCTTTTCTTAAAGAGCTTCAGTTTGTTCAGAATAGAAAACATGCAAACTAAATTAACACACAGTATTGCTTGAACAGAAATGATAATTTGCAGATTACAGCAGCTCTGTAGGGCTAATCTGTGATGGAAGATTTGCCTGAAATAAGGCAGGTTATAAATTTAAAGCATCATACTTATTCCAGACTTAATTTTTTATATTGTTTTTATATGACTGGGTTAGATCCAGTAATTTACTTGAGTGCTTACAATCTAGAGGCCTTAATGACAAAAGTTCAGGTTACCAAATTTTAGTGCCTAATCTAAAGTGCTCTGTTGGGTGTCTTGTAGCTTATTTGGTATGTGAGGAGACACAGTTTTTTAATTCCTGCCTGTGCTTGATTCAAAGCTCCAGTGTAAAGCATCTAGAGCAGTGGTCTAATTTCCTGAATTTATGTAGTGGCACCTCCACCTGGTTTCCAAATAACAGTACATAACTGGAGGAGAGATGATGATTCCCAGCTTTTATAGCAATAAATATGTACCTAGCACATACAACTCTAGCCATCAGCAGGTTTTTCAAAACTTTTGAGTGTTGACTTCTGCCAAGTAAATTTAGTTCATTATGTACGATAGAGTTGGGTGGTTACCAAAGAAACTGCTTGTGGATGGTATGTTGAAGTAATTTTCTGTGTGGAGGTGATTATATGAACCACTGGGTGAAGTCCCATATACAAGCAATCACTCACAATCCATAATTGTCTCTGTGGAGATGCTTACTCTTCAGTTCAGGTACCTCCCCACACACAGTTTCTGCTAATCACCTTGTAGGAATGGAGGTGAGTGGACTGGGGTGGGCCCTAATTTTTGGGGTGGAGAATAAGTATGGATGTGCAGTCCTGGTTTGGGAAGAATGGAGCATGGGGGATGTGATAGAAAGAGAGGTGGGCTTCCTTTTAATTTTTCTCTGCTTTAAGTGTGCTTGTTCTGAGTTACTGCCTATGGTTCCTGCTACCCAATAAATCAAATCTTAGAAATCATCTGAGGTTCACCCGAAGTCTGGACTTCTCCCCACTGCTTTAAGTCCACTGACAAGTAAGCTACAGAGGCAGCCTGCATTTTGCTTCCCCTTTCTGCCTTTTACTTCTTTCTGTCCACACAAACTGGCGTGCTTAGCTGCACAGTGGCCAGTTCCAGCAAGAGGCTGTGGAATCTGTGGAGCCTCCTGTTTGCTGGGTAAGTGTACTGCCAGGCTCACACAGGATGTGTTACTGTTGTTTCCTACCCTGGTAGCTCTCCTATGAACAGTAATCAGTGAACTACTTGGGTTTTATAAAGAACCCTAAGTCCTGTCAGTGTATTAGATGCACTCCGTGTGTATGTCAGATTGCCATCCCGCTGTCTAAATTCTCCAAGGTCAGTTTTTTGGCTCTTGGTAAACCAAGAGGTTTGTTTCCTTGGACTAGGAAGTCTTTAGGCTAGGAAGACTAGGCATCTTCAAACACCCAAAGAATTGTCTATTCAAACAACAAAGCGAGCTATAATCTAAACCCAGATGACTGGGTCTTGGATTGCAATTTCAGAATTCGGTATCTCAATTCCATCTAGCTCTCGTGGTATAAGTGTGTCTCACTCCAAATGGATTAAGTGGATTAAGCTAAATTGGAACAAGGTACTCTTAATTCTGGAACAAGAACATTCAGAAGATTGTTAGCAAAAGGATCAAATGTCTACAGTTAATTCATCGTGTAGATCAGTCCTGCACAGAAGACCAGTATCTATTACTCCTTAGATGATTTTGCTTGTTAGGAGAAATTTGAGTTAGAAGATGTAGCTTGTGGCCGTTGCTGAAATTGTCCTTAACTTCGAGTAGATCCTGGGCTCTTGGGTTTTTTTGTAAGAAGTAGATAAAACAGTTCATTTTCTTTTATAAGCTTTTTTGCCTCCTTTTCAGTAGTGAATGAAGAAGTATCAATAGATGCTTTAATATTGATTTGTTTGTCTTTTGTTGTTTTGTTTGTTTTTTTAACAGATGGGTAGGCAAGTTTTCCTAAAATCAGAGTGCTCATTTCACTTTGTTTTTAATGTATGTGTGTGTTTTTAAATAGAGATACAAATTTATTTTTTTTTTTTCCCCTCTGTGGGGGGAAGGACAGATTAGCCCTTGGTTTGGTTTGCGCACCAATTGCTTTGTCAATGTCTGTTGTGTTACTTGGGGGTGGGGGGAAGTCAAGCACTGTGACTGCTTCTGGGGTGACTGTTCTACTCCTTTTTATTTAAACTGGAAATGGGTTTTTTTTGTTCTTTGCCCCTTACTGCTTTATAAATCTGTCTTTAATTTCAGTTGCCCCAGAGTAGTCCTTAATTGTTGTCTTCCTCAATTAGATTTCAGATGAAGTTTCCTTCAATATCTAGCTGTAAAAACCAGATGTGTGCAGGTGACACAACTTGCATGTTAGCTGCTAAAACATGATGGAGAAGTTCAGGCTTGCAGAAAAGGGAGCTATATATTATTTGATCATTCATAGCTTTAGCTTACGGGATTTGTGTAAAAAGTAATTGAGTGTTGTAGTTTGATTTTACAAAAATATGTTAGAAGAAGTGGGGCTAATAAAACACTTTAATTTTGTAGTGGTTTCACAAGATCTTGTGGGGTGGAACAATCTGCATGTTTTTTTGTCTATTTGTGCAAGACTAGACTATTGATATACTGCAGTAACCACTACAGTTAATTAGTAAATTTAGTACTAACTTGGATATCTTATTTAGCAGCAGCATTGAAAATAATGGTGTTGAATCTTGGCGTTTTGATTGTAGCAAGCAATAGGCTTGCTACATCATTCAAAGCTGGTTATACATGTCAGTCTACTTCATTTGAACATCATAAATGGGAAAATGTTACTCTTGGAATAGGATTCATCTGTACTGGAGGAAAATGGGCACCTGTAGACAAAGATCACATTCAAGAAAAGGCATTTGAGAAAAGTCGTATCTGTCTCCCTCTGGAGGTGGCATTGATCATGATTCCACTGACTGTGATAGGAGCTTCAGTTTTACTCACACCTCACTTCAAGGCATATGAAGTTATGTGGGATGACTTCTCTCTGCTTACCACCACTTGTGTTTATAGAATATATGTAGTAGTCCCTGAAGGATTTATAATGGTGTTGAGTGTTCTCTTTTATTATCTTTTGAGAGGCAGACACACAGCTTCCTGCAGTGGCCAGCCTAAATCCAGAAGATGGAAGTGTTAGGTAGAGACTATAAAACCAAGTAAGAGGATGAAGAATTTTTAACACTTAATTTTAAACGTTTTTCAAAGTATGATGCTGAATAGACTGGTCATGGAACATTTTAAAGTTATATCTTCATAGGTGTAATTTTTTGAGCTTCATATGCATAGGTTCTCATGCTCCAGTGAGAGCTCTTGTAATGAGCTTGAGGTTTTCCATTGATATGCGTGTATGGGAACACTTTTAAAAAATTACTTCCCTCATAGTCCATGACAGTTCTGTATCTTACTTTTTTTTTTTAAACCACTTCATATAGTTGATTTAGTTGAACATAGTAAAAAAAATAGTAAATTTCTTTCCTAAATGCTTTCAAATCTCCCTATCTGTATTCAGAATTAGGTCAAATTCTTCTTTGTAGTATTCCCTTTTTGTTGTTAGACGGTTATTAACAAGCTGATACAACCTAGAGACCCATTCTGATCGGGCATGTGTCTCAGTTCCAGAGACAAAATCCTTTTCATATTCTGTAAGCTTTAATTTTTTTAAAGCCTCTTTTTTTCTTTTACAGTAAGAACACTTTGAAACACTTTGCGTTGAAAATCAGCATGACAGACTCCTGTGATGCTATTTTTTAATATAGTTAGTATTCAGGGCTGAATTGTATTCTTTCATGTGTTTGAAAACAAAACAACTAGCAGTAATTCTTCATATGCTTGTGCAGTTGTTCAATAACAGAAATCCTGCTTGAGATCTGTGCTGCTTACTGTCCAATAGTAAGTGTGATTACTTGCTGTAATTGACAAACCCAAGGTACTTTTCATTAAATACTGGTCCTTCCTCAAGAATTGTTGCTAGCGTGAAGGGAATGGATACTTCATCCCAGGGGGATGTGGGGCAAGAGAAGAGCTGCCTTTTTAGTAGAGACCACCCACCTGTGGAAAGAGAGAAGCATCTTTGTTAGCCTGTCTCATGGTAAGGGGTTGTTGAGACAATTCAAGCCAAGTGGTTATAATGGTCATAGTTTACTGTTGCAAGGTCCACTGAAGCAAGGTGAAAAAAATAAAACCCAGTCCATGCGGTCAGTCATGAGGAATGTGATACCTGATTGCAATCAGGTTATCTTTAAATGCAAGAGCTCAAGTATAGCTGGAAGCAGTGTAGCTGCTGCAGTAACGTGCTCAGCAAGGGTTAATTTGCCCTGCCAAAAAGCAGTTGACCATGTGGACATACCTACGAAATCTTCTGCACTCAGGAGTCACTGAACTTGCTAGAAAAGTGTAACCTGTTTCTGTTGTTGAAGCTCAGGGAGTCCTAACTGTCTTCGGTATATGCAACATCAGATATGACTCCATGAGAAGGATATTTATTTTAAATCCTGTTTCCTTTAGGGGCTTTTCTCTGAAGCCTAAAATGTTCTTGCTTTAGATTCAAGTTGTTCAAGTTCAAAAACCTGTGGCCAAGGGGAAAAATACAGATGCCCAAGTTCCACTGAAGCCTGCAAGCCTGTAAGTGGTTTGTATTCACTGTGTAGTTGTCGTGGTTTAACCCCAGCCAGCAACTAAGCACCACACAGCTGCTCGCTCACCTTCCTCATAGTGGGGTGGGAGAGAGAATTAGAAGGGTAAAAGTGAGAAAACTCTTGGGCTGAGATAAAGACTGTTAAATAAGTAAAGCAAAAGCTGTGTGCGCAAGCAAAACAAAACAAGGAATTCATTCACCGCTTCCTATGGGCAGGCAGGTGTTCAGCCATCTCCAGGACAGCAGGGCTCCATCACGCCTAACGGTGACTTGGGAAGACAAACGCCATCACTCTGAACGTCTCCCTCTTCTTCCTTCTCCCCCCAGCTTTATATGCTGAGCATGACGCCATATGGTCTGGGATATCCCTTGGGTTAGTTGGGGTCAGCTGTCCCGGCTGTGTCCCCTCCCAACTCCTTGTGCCCCCCCAGCCTCCTTGCTGGTGGGGTGGGGTGAGAAGCAGAAAAGGCCTTGGCTCTGTGTGAGCACTGCTCAGCAGTAATGAGAACATCTCTGTGTTATCAACACTGTTTTCAGTACAGATCAAAAACATAGCCCCATATTGGCTACTCTGAAGAAAATTAACTCTATCCCAGCCAAAATGAGCACAGTAGTACACTAAGTTCCTGGTCAAATGCTATCTAATCCTTCAGTCAAGTTGCAAGTTTTGTGGCTCCCCTTAGTAGTTTAAATGATTTGCAACAAGTGTTGCTTGTTCAATTTAGAATGTACTTTTGGTTTTTTGTTTGTTTCTTAATGAAGTATTCCATTGAAGCCTCCTGTGGCACTCTGCCATATGCATTCATGTTGTGCATGTGAATATATGAGTGTTCTTTGGGAATGTCAGAAGGAAACTACCTGTACAGCAGCAATTTAACTGAAACAAGATTTGGTTTTATGCCATGCTGGGTTTATTTTTTAAAAGTGTTTTAAAATGCTGAGTATATGCATACATATATAAGATATATAAGCAAGTGCTTCCAATCAACAGATCACAAAGTATCTTACAGAGAATGTTAATATCTTTATCCCCCTTGATAGACAGTGACACTTGGTAATAATCTGCCCCAAATCAGGGACAGATCTGGGAATTGAGGCTTTGCTTTTTCAGCCTCAACTGAATACTCTGACTTGGACTGCTTCCCAGGGATCCACGTCCTGTTTGGTGTTTGACATAAACCAACTGGATTATGCATTCTCAACCTGTGTG